CGGCATGTATGATGAATCATGTTGGCAAAATCGTAGGTCATCGTCTCCGCATAAAACACCAGTTGCGCTGGGCAAAGCTTTGGCTTCCGATAATAGCTGCGCCTGTAGGTTATCTTCACACCAGTAGCGTTTGCTCGTGTGTACTCGTATCACATACAATATATCTTCGTTCTGCCTTCTCTCTCGGCCGAGCGCGGCCTTGTCGTTGCCGTAGATGAGGCTGAGGTTGCTGTACGTGGTACAGTAGATAGCAATGAAGCCGAGTTGCTCTCACTGTCCGTGGCAGTGCCCAACACCGTGACGAGGACGTTCGGAGTTGATGCTAAGCTTGGTGCTGCTGCCTCCGAGCTTGGTGTAGCCGCTAACGAAGGCAACGCAGCGCTCAATGCGGCCCCTTCATCCGGAATCTGAATTTGGTATGGAACAACAGGGTCGAGAGTAGGTAGAGGCGAATCATGAGCTTCGCTCTCACTTAACCCAGGCTGAGCGTCAGGTAGACGCGTTGAAGGTCGAGACGTCGGTGCATACCGGTGCCGGCTTCCTCGGCGTTTTGGCCGCGCCATATTACTGGCAGTTGAGACAGTAGTGCGAAGTAGAGGTAGTAGTTGCTCTAAGAGGCGCTGTAGTGAAGCGCCGCTGAAATCTTGTGCAGCGGGTTATGGTGGGACTATTGCTTTAGCTATGATTGAACGTGAAACCACTTGAAGAGCCGCCATAACGTGATCAAGAATAATTGTTCACGTACGAAGAGGGTGACCAAGGATATGCAACCTGTGACCAATGTGATCATTTTCGACGTGACCAAAATTGTTTCTGACCTGTAATAAATCCTTCGATGAGTTTGCCTGGTACATGTGCGTTAAAATGAGGGGTTTAGCTGTTCCGACGACTTGTTCACAATAACACCTCTATTAGACTAATATGTTCGCTTTCTTGGTTTGGAGGGTCTTTCGCACGTTGCAGTGCTATATTCATCTCTTTGGGCTGCTTGATTGGGTTACCAATTGATTATTCCGACGCTCAAGTGTACAAACTAATCCTTAGCGTCGAAAGCGATTCTGTTCATGCACACTTAAAATGAGAAAATCCGGGCTCTTCTCGTCGATATTCATAAGTACACAGCCGACCCATAAATACGTTTAGAAGTGGACGTGATGCTACCGGATACGTCAACACACCTTGTAATAAAGAATTGAAGGAACCATCTACTTCGCTAATAGCACGGGAAATGGCACCGGATCGATCAAATTTACTCTCTAGACGATGTTTTAACAGTGAATATGTAGGTTCATACGGGGTTTCTTCTTTTTGTCTACTGAAATCATAAAATAGAATTCAAACTCCTACATCCACTTAGGAAGTTGCCGTTTCCAAATGTATCCACTAATAAACTAGGGTTCACCAAAACGAAAACGACAGTATTTGTCAGCTTTTTTTTTCCCAATTACGTCAAATTATAGGACACATGTGTTTTCGTTTTTAAAGGCACAGCGACTAGATGGATTTCAGTGTACTTGAGCATTGATCCGTTATTTATAATAGTGTCAAACGGCGCTTCTTCGCCCAAGACATCCGTCCTGAAAATAATGAACTATATTCAACCCTGCTCAACCATCTTGAAAATTGTAAGGCACGTAAAGAGTCGATAGTCGGATGTCCATTCTAAAAGGAGAGTTATTGTACCTACTATTATCCTGTTTAGCGGCCCCCAATTCGTCTCAGCTAGAAATTATTGATCCGTGTAATCACTAAATGCTGCGCATTAGTTTTTTCTTCTTCTTTAGAAATGAGTAGCCTTTAGTATTTGCAATGGACAGTATATGTGATTTGCTTCTAGCCGTATCTGGATTCTGCTATGCAGACTACCCGAGCTCCAGCGCTTCCCGGTGCGGACGTGTGCTCATAAAACTTCTTGTATTTCGATCTTGGCGTGTGTTTTTGCTCCCAATTTACGTAGTTTCATCCATTCCTTGTAAACAAAAAAAAAATTGAACACCCGGCTTTCAACGGCAATACCGCACTAATTTCTTTTCTCAAGCGTACCAGATGAATACAGTACATTCATTTAGTGTACTTACAGTTGTTGTTTCTGACTACGACACGACCGTGTACTTAGTTGTTGAAACTGTGTATCTACCGGTGATTGATATAATCCCTGCACGAGCGAATACAGGTCCATTTGAACTGCAAATCGTGGCAACGTCTCGAGGTTCCCCATGCCCGATATTGCCAAACGTGATTTCTATCGACAAGGGTCGACAATGGCGAGATTCGTCTTGATATGATGGCAGTGGTGGCCCTAATAGCTGACAGCACAAGCGCTCAACTTTGAAATCGAATTGCTGAAGAGGAAGTCCCGTTGGGTATCAGGATCCCAGATATAGCTACTAATCCTTCTGTCGGGAAGAGGCTTCTGCACGGTGCAGTGCACCCTCTTCTTGCTGGCCTGGAATTCGGTGGCAATAGAAACGACGTAGGGCATTGAACCTTTGTTTTTTTTAGGCTGGTACACCGGTATTGAGGTGCGTTACCACTAGTGTACGGCGTACACTGTACGCAGCACTAAAATAGTATTTCCCCGTACGCCACAAAAAATTCTCTTACACAATTACGAACTGCAGTCGTCTTAACGTTATAACACCCGAATGTTTTCTGAACTGCCATTTTCGTGTAAATATTTGGTAGCAAAACAAATCTCATTTGTCAAAAAAGAGAAGAAAAAAAAGGAGACATCAAGGGAGATGCGAGCGAATACATGCTTTCTCGATGCCGAACTGAAGTACTACGTTGATAGAACATTTTGTCTCAGCTCAAATCTTCCAAATGTTGGCTCTAATGCAGCGTTTCGCAAACCGCTGTCCTTAGGTAAGGCGATGTGCTCTAGAAAGTGTTATGTGTTGTACGCGGCTCTTGACCAAGT